ACATTTTGAATAATAATCTTCGTAAAATATTGTTCATCAAACTAAGAGTTTCCACACCCAAAAGATTAGACCTTATGCTAGCTCTCAGCTTACGGAAACTTAAAAAAAAGACACAAATTTTTGGAAAAATTAGCGAGTGCTTACTTTTTCAGCTTATTGTTCGGCTCAGCTCTGAGATCCTACACGGTCTTCTCCAGCGACAAAACTTTAGCAGCATAACTAGCAGATTTGACCTTCTCCTCGTCCAGTTCAGCTTTGAGATTCTGGATTTGATCCTCGAGTTCTCGGACTCGAGAACCATCAGCATTTGCTTTCTTCCTCTCCAAGGACATCTCATCAAGCTTTGTCTTCAACCAGTCTAGCTTGAAGCCGGCTACGTCGGTTAGCTCGATCAACTCGCTGTGAGCGTTGCTTAGCTCTGTGTCGGTAATGCTAATTAGAGGCTTGTCCAGTGTTTTGATGAGACCGAGGAGGAGATTCATGTATGTTGTCTTCGCCAATTGGTTCTTTGGTCTGACATTCACTGCAATGTCCGGGTGTTTTGTGAAGAGCCGAGTCACTGAACCCACCTGTCAACGAGAGGAAGATGTGATTATGCTGACCAGAAAATAGAATAAAAAAAAAGACAATGAGAAGCATTTCTATAATACTAATCGTACCTGAGAATAAAGTATAGATGTTTGTAGAAGTGATGATTTATTCATTCTCTCATAGAGGTTATTTATACAAGAAGACAACCAAGGTCGGGCTTTACAATAGAGTTAATGTAGAATATATACTATCTATAAGTGATTCCTAGATATCAGCAATTAGTGATACGATGATATCTTTACATGCCCCCTCAAGATGGAGGAGCCTTGGTGACTCCAATCTTGGATGAGAAGTTGTTGAATGCAGCTTTGGACAAGGGCTTAGTTAAGACATCAGCAAGTTGATCGTGTGTAGAAACGTGAACTACACGGAGAGACCCAGACTGAACTAGTTCCCGGATGAAGTGGTAATCAATGGCAATATGCTTCATGCGGGAGTGAAAAACAGGATTGGCACAAAGGTAAGTTGCACCTACATTATCACAGTAGATAACCAGTGGCCAGTTGACGCGGATGCCAAGTTCACTGAGTAAGGAGCATAGCCATTTGACCTCTGAAGCAGTATTCGCCACTGATCTGTACTCAGCCTCCGTCGATGACATCGCCACTCCTTTTAATTTCTTTGAGGACCAAGAGATGGGGTGTGAGCCAAGATAGATAATGTAGCCATTTGTAGAGCCATAATTGTCAGAATCACCTCCCCAATCTGCATCAGAGTATGCATGAAGTGTGGAGTTGTTACCTTTCTTGAGAAAGATTCCATGAGTTGGTGTACCAGCTAAATACCGAAGAAGTCTCTTCACCGCGAGCCAATGATCAGTTGTAGGCGCATGCATAAATTGAAAGAGTTTACTGACCGCATAGGAGAGATCCGGCCTAGTGAAAGCCAAGTACTGCAGACTGCCAAGAGTAGCCCTGTATTCAGAAGGATCAGTGAGTTTGGTGCCTGAATGCAGGGAGAGTTTCGGAGAGACAGCCATCGGTGTGTTGACAGGCTTGGCAGAGAGCATGTTGGTACGAGCAAGAAGGTCCAAAATGTATTTCTGCTGATTTAAGTGCAAACCAGAAGACGTCCGTCGTGCTTCAATACCAAGGAAGTAATGTAAGTCTTCTGGATCTTTGATCGAAAACCTTGAGGCCAAAGCATCCAGAGTTTGTTGAATTAAACGTGAGTCATTGCCCGTGACAATGATATCGTCAACGTACACCAACATATAGAGAATGGAGGTACCTCGCTGCAGAACAAACAGAGAAGTGTCGGAGAGAGAGTTCACAAACCCGAGGGAGAGAAGATAGTTCTTCAGCTCAATGTACCACACCCTAGGTGCTTACTTCAGACCATAGATAGCTTTATTCAATCGGCACACGTAGTCAGGATGATCTTTGTCGATGAAACCAGGAGGCTGTTTCATATACACTTCATCTGTCAACGTGCCTTGCAGAAACACATTATTGACATCCAGTTGCCGGAGAGGCCACGATCCATCAACCGCAGCACCCAGAACCACACGGATAGTTGTTGATTTAATGACCGGACTGAAAGTCTCTGCGTAGTCAAGACCAGGACGTTGATTGTAGCCTTGAGCTACTAAGCGTGCTTTGTAGCGATTCAGAACACCAGAGGAATGAAATTTCTTAGTAAAGATCCACTTACTGCCAACACAAGTAACCATTGACGACAGAGGAGGTACGAGATCCCACGTCCGATGCTGAATCTGAGCATTATACTCACCATCCATTGCATTTCGCCATTTATCATCTTTGAGAGCTTGAGCAGCTGTACGAGGTTCAAAATCACACTGAGAGGTAACTGAAGCAGAGAGCAGGTAACGACGATTCGGTTTAACGATACCAGCTTTGGATCGAGTACCCATGGCGTGAAGATTTTCTGGGATTGGGTTTTGTGGATTTGGATTTTGTGGGTTTGGCGGATTCTGTGGATTTTGGTTTTGGGGATTGAGATTCGGAGGGTTTGGTGGTTGTGGATTTGGCGGTGGTGCGTCAGAGGTGGATGACGATGTCGTCGAGGAGGACACCGTCGTCGAGTTGGAGTTTTCCGATTCCGACGAGGAGCTGTTCGAGGCTGAGGAGGGAGAAGAAAGAATTGGGCTGTTTTGGTTTTGTGGTGAAGTGGGCTGATTTAGTGGAGATTGGGTCAAAGTTGTATTTTGTGTGGATTGTTGCTGGGCCGTGGGTTGCGGCCCATTGTGTATTGGAGCAGTGGGCTCAGAATTTGAGGGAGAAGAAGAAGAGATAGCGTTGAGAGGCGATACCTGTGGAGGAGCGGCGGTCAACGATGGCCCGGAAGAGGCGGAGTGAAGGTCCGAACACGGGAAAACAACCGGCGAACTCTGAGACGGGAGCTGTATGAGGGCTGGTCCTTCCATGGACACTGTGCTATCGAGATCTGTCACTCGCGGAGCCTGAGTGAAGGCGAATGGAAAATCGCTTTCATCAAATTGGACATGGCGGGAGGTGTATAGGCGCCCGGTTGGAATGTGTAAGCAATAGTACGCACTATGTGTGATGGAGTAACCCAAGAATGCACACCGAAGTGATTTGTCATCCAATTTGTGACGATTGTACGGTCTCAACCAGGGATAGCAAGCACAGCCAAACACACGCAATTTGTCGTAATTGGGGGCGACTCCAAAAAGTATCTGAAACGGAGACTGTAATCCAATGACCGGAGACGGGAGCCGGTTGATGAGATAGACTGCGACAGCAAAAGCATAAGGCCAATACTGCTTCGGAACCGAAGCTGTCGACATCAGCGTCATTCCCATTTCTACGACATGACGATGCTTCCGTTCTGACACTCCATTGTGTTATGGCGTGTGAGGAGGTGACGTCAAATGAGAGGTGCCATTTGTAGAAAGGTATTCTCTTAATGCCACATACTCACCTCCATTGTCAGAAAATAGAGTCCCAATCTTGCGTTGAAAACGATTCTCCACCAAACTCTTAAAGGCTATAATGTTTGTTTGACATGGGATTTTTGTTTAAGGGGTATAGCCAGTGTATCGGGTAAAGTGGTCCACAAAAATGACATAATATTTGAAGTTATCATGTGAAAGAATGGGAGAGCTCCACACATCAGAGAAAAGATATTCAAGAGGTTTAGATGAGGTAATCGTGGATTTGGAAAAAGGAATCTTGTGACTTTTATTTATTAAGCAATCTGAACAGGAGAAAGCTTGAGATAGTTGTTTTGTCACAGGAAGAGAAAATTGAGAAACAACAGTGTTTAGAATGGAAGTAGAAGGATGGCCTAAGCGCAAATGCCAAGAAGTTGAGGTTTCCGTAGAGTTTGATGAAGCAAACAACGCAGAGACTTGAGACGGAGACACTGGCCATTCATACAGCTCATCTCTAGTCTTACCTTGGAGTAATGGGGTTCCCGTGTTCAGATCCTTCACCTGAAAAGATGCAGGAAAGAATTCCACCGAGACACGGTTAGTATTACATAACCGATATACTGATATGAAATTTTTACGAATATCAGGTACAAACAAAACATCTTGTAAACGCAATGGATGATATTTTGTAGGGAGAGATTTGAAACCGGATGACAGTTTTGTAGTCGTCAGGCAGGCCTTCGAGGATGAGATCAATCTGATCTTCATGTTCCATCGCAGCCCCGAGTATCGCAAGTTGGTCTAGGCGAGTGGTGACGCCTTGAAGGTAAACATCAATGGTTTTACCTCCTTTGCGCCAGTTTTTGAGTTGCGTCTTGAGTTGTTTGATATGACCCCTGCTAGGTTTAGCATAGGTTTGGGCAAGTGTGTCCCATACTTCAGAGGCTGTGGAAGCACGGGAGACAAGTGGTTGGAGCGAGGGGGAGATTGCTCCAATAAGAGCACTGAAAATCAGTTTGTCTTGTCGATTCCAGAGTGTATACGCTGGATTCACTGAGACTGCATCACCAGTCGTAAGAGTTGATGGAGGAACGACCTCAGATCCATTGATATGACCGCCAAGATCATATCCATCAAGTAGTGCTTGGATCTGGATCTTCCACATGAGATAGTTCGTAGCCGTCAGTTTAGCAACATGAGTCATGTTGACGACTACCAGTGCTGAGTTAGTGACCGGAATGGTCTCAGTCACCGTTGGAGAGGTGTTGGCGGAGGAAGACATGATGTTGAGAAAAGCAGAAAAGAAGAAGAAAAAAAAAAAAAAAAAATACAGAGAAAAATATGTGTTTATGGATCGAGGAGCTCTGATATCATATAGATGTTTGTAGAAGTGATGATTTATTCATTCTCTCATAGAGGTTATTTATACAAGAAGACAGCCAAGGTAGAGCTTTACAATAGAGTTAATGTAGAATATATACTATCTATAAGTGATTCCTAGATATCAGCAATTAGTGATACGATGATATCTTAATATAAAGAACTTGGAAACCATTATAATCATACGTCTCCTTCCCGGTCACATCTCCTTGATCAACAACTTCAACTACTTTTACTTCCACTTTAACTCTCAGTTTGTTCTTCTCTAGAAACCCTTTTTCTTGAAGCTTTTTAAGAGGCAAGGCCTTTGGAAGACCCCATGATGAGAACTGAGCGCAGAACAATATGCACGACAGTTCTGTAAGGAAAAATCAGAAATGTTAATTTGAATTTTCGTCATCATCAGTCAGATATATAATTATATACATGGTAGATAAGTTAATCACCAACTGTTCTGAAGAGCTCTTTTCCTGATTCATTCAACAGAGCGAAGGAAAAACTAGCTCGCCTTTTCCATCCAAGTCTCAATGATTCAGGATTCGCGACATATAGGTACAGTGACAAGTGATCATCAACAAGATCTCCTTTGGGGTAAACCTTAACATACCTTAAAGAAAGATGAAACGAGACAAGTTAGTTAATTAAACCATTTAGTTGTAAACCTAAAATGGGAGACTAGAAGATGAGTTAATAATAATAAAAATACTCACACATAATATATAGTATTTTTTTGTCTTTTACCATTTGCAGCCGCCGCTTGAGAATGTTGGTGATGATATCACAGCTTCCTTATCGGAGAAGTTATCAATCTCAAAGGTGAAACTAGTCTGCTTTTGATCCTCCATGTTTCTGAAAATACCAATCCTTTCTTATGTTTTGCCACTTCGAGCAAAAGACAACTTTAATTCTCACAAACTAGTCAATGCAACTGTAAACACACATCAATTTCCAGAAACAGGCAACGTTACAAAAAAACTATAACCTAAAATATATAATTGAAAACTTAGTAATCTGAGAAAACAAAACCAAATTATGTCCATGAAAGAAAAAGAAAAAATAAATGAAGATTTTCTAGTATAAGTACTCATAGAGCAAACAAGTTTTCTACTAATTTGAAAAACAAATACTGATTCATCAAACTACTACTTCTCTCAATGTTAACATCCATGTTTTCTTTCTTAGCAGAAGTCCAAGAGATTTCATGTTTTGTTTTCACAATTTCATTTCAACAAACACTTGCCAGGCATATTTACAGTTACAGTCAAATGCAAATAAAATAATCTTTTGAAATCCGAAATCCTCTACAAAGTGAACGACGAAACTAAACAACAACAACAACAACAACAACAGCCAAAAATTTCGCTAAATCGAACACATTTCTGTTTCAGTCTACATTTCTGTTTCACACAGGAATTTCAACCAACAACTACCAGACATATTAAAAGTTCCAGTCAATGCAAAACTATAAAACATAATCTTTAAAATCTTCTACAAAAGTGAACGAAGAAAAAAAGAGAACAAAAAAGGAAGAGATCTAGCTTCACCAGGAAAGCCGAGATGATCGTAAATGAGACTGCGGGCGAACAAAATAGAAAACAATAAGAACACTTGAGCGAAACCCAAAACGAACGACTCACCAAGTAGCTCCTAGAGTTCTATAAAGAAACTTAGCGGAGAAGCAAAAATCCACAACCAATCTCCAAAAATCGATGGCAAGGAGGAACAGGGGACAGAATTAGGGTTAAAGATATTGTGAGAATAGCAGCTTATATTGGTTTCGAAAAAGAGAGGAAACTGAAAGGGTTTTGACACAGAGAAAGAGAGAGGAAACTGAAAGGGTTCTCCTCCTTCCCAAAGACGACAATAAAGGCCTCTTTCCATTGTATGGTCAGTTTATTTTTTTACGTATATTTTTCATGCAACAATTTTTTTTTTTTGTTATAGGGCTTTCTTGCATTTATATTAGACTAAGAAGCTACAAAGTAGCAAAGTATAATTTACAACCAGGAACAAAAGAAAAGAAAGGAAGAAAGATCAGAGATCAACCAAAACCATTGGAAAGTGTCCATTGTTGGAGAATTAGGTCTCCGTGAGAAGATCCTAACATCGTCAAAGCTCGGCATTTATCTTTTGCAGAGTTGAGAATTAAGCTGAAGACTTTTCCAAAAGGAAGAGAGACACCATCATGAAACCTTCGATTTCTTTCTCTCCATATCTCATAAACAGCTCCTTGCCAACCTTGAAGCAAGGCCAACTTTTTGGAAACATCAAGAGTAGAGGCATTAAACCAAGTTAACAAGTGCTCCCAATGCATAGGCACATTTTGGATCTGAAGACAAAGCATGATTTTTCATGCAACAATTACTATGGGCAGTTTGGTCTTTTTCGCTAAAAAAGGTTTGGTTTGCTATACTTCTATTCAATGTTCCAATGAAAAACTGCATAGTTGTTTCCATTATTTAACCATGATCCGACTCAAAAATTGGAAAGGTTTGTGATAAACTCTTGAAATTGTTTTACCAATTCATTAACACAACATCTACCGATGCATGTTACGTAAGTTGTAAACAAAAAATATAAAAATTAGGTGCAAGTTGTTTCTTGAAGTTTTTAGTGACAAACACGGAGTAAGTCTTTGAATAATCAAAAGTTATATTATTATCTCACTGGTTACAATAAAAAACAAAAAAAAAAAGCATACTTGCATTTGTATATAAAAAGCAAATGAATAGAGCTCAGTTTAGTTTGAATTTGATGTAAAATCACGATTTTTAACTAAAATGAATGGAAATCGAAATAGTATAAAAATTAGTATGTGATTTTAGGCTTAAACTCTGTTTATCCTGAGCTTGACATGAAATTTTCGGTGGAGTTGTGGATAGATCACCCGGAAATAAATGACATGATTTCAATAGAATCTGGTGGTATTTGGGATCACATTTGTAATTTCTTCTGTATCTCTGTGTTTAGCATAATGTGAATGTACATCGTTTCGTATAAATTAAGTGGGAGAAAATATTAGTTTTGAATATTTCGCATACTTTAGCCGCAAGTCACAGTCCCAGACGTTTATGTGATAGGTTTTATCTCTCCAGCTATCATTACTTTATGAGATTTGATTAAAAAAACATTAAACCCCAAAGTTCTTGATTAATAAAAGAAAACATAAAACATTAGTAGTAAACAGTGTCTTATGTTCTACTTTTCATTACGGAGATCTGCGTAATCAAATACTTCCCAAGTGCAAACAACACCTTTGAGATCCGACACCTCATCTTTAAGATCCGACACCGTCTGCTCTAATGACAAAACATTAGCAGCGGAAGTAGCAGCTTTACCCTTCTCCTTGTTCAGCTCATCTTTAAGATCCCAAACCTCATCTTCAAGCTCCAACACATCATCTTTAAGATCCGACACTGTCTGTTCCAACGACAGAACTTTAGCAGCAGAAGTATCGGTTTTGAGCTTCTCCTCGTTCAGTTCAACTTTGAGGTTCTTGATGTGTTCCTCGAGTTCTTGGACTTGACAACCGTCAGAATTCGATTTCTTCCTCTCCAAGGTAACCTCAGCAAGCTTTGTCTTCAACCAGTCTAGCTTGAACCCTGCTTCTGTTAGCTCGATCAACTCGATGCGAGCAGTGCTTAGCTCAACCTCGGATAAGCTATGTGGAGGCTTGTTTAGTATCTCGATGAGACCGAGAAGGAGATTCATGTATGCTGTCTTCACAAGTTGGCTATTTAATCTGAAATTTAATGCAAAATCCGGGTGTTGCATGAAAAGCCTCCTTACTGAATGAAGCTGTCAACGAGAGGAAGATGTAATTATGTTAACCAGAAAGAAAAAAGCAACAAGAAGAAGCATCCATATACAGTACCTGAGAATAAGGGACTTGGAAACCATTGAAATTGAACGTCTCATTCCCAGTGACAACTCCTTGATCAACAACTTCAACTACTTTTACTTCCACTTTAAGTATCAGTTTGTTCTTCTCCAAAAACCCTTTCTCTTGAAGCGTTTCAAGAAGCAAGGCACCACCCCATCTTGAGATCTGAGAGCAGAACAAGTTGCAGGATTCTGCAAGACAAAAACACATATAAATTAACTTTCTTCTTCATCATGTCATATAAATAAATCTATGTATAGTATACGTCTAATTAGCTAATTACCAGCTGTTCTGAAGAGCTCTTTGCCTGATTGATTCAGTAGTACAAAGGAAAATTTAGCTTGTCTTTTCCATCCAAGTCGTAATGATTCAGGATTAGCAACACATAGGTACAGAGACATGTGATCATCAATAATATGGACATCTCCTTTGGGATAAACCACAACATACCTGGAAAAGATAAAATAAAATAAAGAAAAACAGAGACAAGTTATTAATGGGAATATAGAGAACGAGTTCAGAGTTCAGAGTTCAGAGTTCAGAGGACAACTCTTCCCATTTACCATTCGCAGCCGCCGATTGAGAGTGCTGGTGATGATAGCACAGCTTCCTTCTCAGAGAAGTTATCTATCTCAAACGTGTAGCTCGTCTGCTTTTGATCCTCCATATCTCTCCAATAAACGCTTTTCTTTTCTTAGGTTTCACAAACTTCTCGACTGAAATTAGGGTTTCTAGGACAATCTTTGTATTTTCTTTTGAAATCGGACCCTATAGTGTGTTCTTGTAGCTTGATTGTTGAGTTATAAAGAGAAATAGTAACTGTGATGTTACAACATTACAATCAAGATCACAACTGCTATGGTTTTAACATCAGATTATTTCCAAAATGTATATGTAGCAGAAAACAATAAATATAAATAGAATTTGACCATCATGAAAGCTGCAATAAATATATGTATAGAATTCTCCGAAGTCCGAATATTCAAAAGCTTACTAGTCATCCGGTTTCCTTCACATAAATTTTATGGGAGATAATATTCTTTTGAATAATTCGTTTACTTTAGCCGCAAGTAAGATTACAAGACGTTTATGTGTGTGTGTGTGTGTATGTGTGGAAGATCGTTCTATGTAATAGGTTTGATCTCTCCAGCTATCATATTACCTATGACGCTCCAAAACTGACAGCAACAATTTTAGACTGAGATGACCCCAAAGTTGTTGATAAATTAAAAAAAAAAAAAAAAAAAAAAAAAAAAAAAAAAAAACAGAAAACTTTAGAATATAAGACATTTAATTTAATTTAATTAAATTTTGTTAATTTAATTAAATTAACAAAATTAACATTTAACAATTTTGTTAATTTAATTTTCATGCGTAATCTAACACTTCCCAAGAGGAAACAACACCCTTCTCCTTGTTCAGCTCATATTTAAGATCCAACACCGTCTGTTCCAACGTCAAAACTTTAGCAGACTTGACCTTCTCCTTGTTCAGCTCATCTTTAAGATTCCACACCGTCTGTTCCAACGACCAAACTTTAGCAGACTTGACCTTCTCCTTGTTCAGCTCATCTTTAAGATCCAACACTGTCTGTTCCAACGCCAAAACTTTAGCAGCACAAGTATCTGATTTACCCTTCTCATTGTTCAACACATCTTCAAGATACCACACTGTCTGTTCCAGCGACAGAACTTTAGCAGCAAATTCGCGCTTCTTCTTGTTCAGCTCATCTTTATGATCCAACACCGTCTGTTCCATAGACCAAACTTTAGCAGCAGAAGTATTAGATTTGCCCTTCTCCTTATTCAGCTCATCTTTAAGATTCAACACCTCATCGTTGAGTTCCGAGACCGTCTGCTCCATCGACAAGACTTTAGCAGCAGAAGTAGCAGACTTGGCCTTCTCCTTGTCCAGCTCAAGGTTGAGATTCTTGATATGTTCCTCGAGTTCTTGGACTTGAGTATCTTCACCATTTGATTTCTTCCGCTCCAAGGAAACCTCATCAAGCTTTATCTTCAACCAGTCTAGCTTGAATCCTACTTCTGTTAGATCGATCAACTCGCCTTGAGCGTTGCTTAGCTCAGTCTCGGAGATGCTATGTGGAGGCTTGTTCAGCGTCTCGATAAGATCAAGGAGGATATTTATGTAAGTTGTCTTCACCCGTTGGTTCTTTTGTTTGACATTTACTGCAAAGTCCGGGTGCTTCACGAAAATCCAACTCAATGATAAAACCTAACCGAAAGTAACCAGTAAAGAGAATCAGTTAAAAGAAGAAGAAAAAACAAGAAACATCCTTATAATTAATACATACCTGAGAATCAAGAACTCGGAAACCACTACAATCACACGTTTCCTTTCCAGTGACATCTGCTTGATCAACAACTTCAACTACTTTAACTTCCACTTTGACTATCAGTTTGTTCTTCTCTAGACCAGCTTCTGGAAGCTGTTTAAGAGGCAAGGCCTTTGGAAAACCCCATCCTGTGAGCTCGGTGCAAAATAATTTGCACAGTGAGTTTGTAAGAGACCCAAAAAAAAAAACAGAAAGCTTAATTAAAATTTCTTCACCATCAATAAGATAGATATGTAACTATATACATGGAAGATAAGTTAATTACCACTTTTTCTGGAGAGCTCTTTGCCTGAGTGATTCAATAGAACAAAGGAATAACTGGCTCGTCTTTTCCATCCAAGTCGCAATGATTGAGGATTGGCAACACAGAGGAAGAGAGACAAGTGATCATCAATATCTTTTCCTTTGGGATAAACCTCAACAAACCTGAAAGGAAACATATATTATTCACTAAACGCTCGAGTTGTACATCTAATAACAAAGACAACGCTATTCTGTTTGTTGAATGTATATGAGGATTTAAGAATCAAACACACATGAATATATACATAATCTTTTCTTTTACCATTCGCATCCGCTGCTTAAGAAATTTGGTGATCGTATCGGAGCTTTCTTCTCGGAGAAGTTATCTATCTCAAAGGTAAAACTAGTCTGCTTTTGGTGATCGTATCGGAGCTTTCTTCTCGGAGATTCTCCATACTCTCTATTCTTAATTAGGTCTTGTTACGTCGAGCAAAAGACGACTCTCTCACAAACTTGTTTTTGATACTTCTTCACCTCATAAACACGTATTTATAATAATATTTTCAAAACCCTAACTCAAAAGCAATATAGAAACATTCCTCGTAAGCCCTAAGTTGTTAGAGGAGAAATTAGCACATTTCCCTGAGCCCGTCATCATTAGTAAAGTCGAAGCCCAATCCGATTTAGGCCTGAACTTCCTCAACAAAAAGGCAAGACTTGAGAAGGAAGGCACAATCCATGGAGAAATGTAAACAAACTCTCATGCCGACCTGAAGAATGGAAGGAAATCAAGAACAAGAGGAAGTTTTCCATATCGCAAAAGAGGAAGTTTTCCATCTCGCCCGAAGGAAAATATTCATCATTCGGCCAACTTATCAACACTATATATTGAAGACCCCCATGGGGAGAAAGGGATCCGAAACATCTAGAATCACTAGGCTTTAGCACCCACTTTTACTCTCTCTTCTTGTTCATCACTATTATCTCGCTAGGCTTGTTAGCGAGATAACCTTCTTGTAACTTCTTTGATATTCTTTGAGTTGAATTAAGCATTCCAGTTTCCTAAACTCACATCTTTGATAGCCCGTCTTGACGAGTGCTATCTCGGATTCAACAACATAAGTCAAAAGCAAATGGGTCAGATTAAACCAGAAGCTGGCCCACTCGATATGTTTGTCCTTTTATTTCTTTTCTTTTATTGGAGCTTTCTCTATTATCTTCTTGTTCTTTTTTGTATTACACACATATAAGAGAGAGGGGGTGTTCTGTAATTGTAACATGTACAATTACTAAACGAGTTATAGTGATGATCTCGCCATAGGAAGGCTTTAGTGTGTTATTTATTTTGTTGCAAGTTTTCGACAAATCTTGTGAGGTGTAGAGGAGCGAACAAACGAGTACAAGTGTTGCAGTCATAAGTCATATCCGATTCTTAGTCCAATCCATTTTCGATTTTTTTTTTCAGTCACACACACACCTCAACGTCCTATAATACTTTAAGCATCAAATCCCAACTGTATAATCTTCATAAGTTGGCATGTGTAAATGATTTCAGTAGACAAGTAAAGAAAAATTGTAACGCAAGGAACCTTTTGAGACGTTTCCTTCTTGCTAATGCATCCGATCTATCAATTAAGGTATAGATGATGTAACTCAAACTATGTTTTCAAGAATAGATGATGATGAAAAAAAAACAAGAAATCAAAGGATAGATTGAAGAGTCAAAGCAGAGAAGATCGTAAATAAGAATTCGGGTGAAAAAAAAAAAAAAAAAAAAAAAACAGAAATTAAACATATAGTAACAAAATGTTTTATATTCTACTTTTCATGCGTAATCCAACACTTCCCAAGAGGAAACAACACCATTCTCCTTCTTTAGCTCATCTCTGAGACTCAACACCGTCTGTTCCAATGACAAAACTTTAGCAGTTGAAGTATCAGATTTTCCCTTCTCCTTGTTCAGCTCATCTTTAAGATTTGACACCGTCTGCTCCAACGACAAATATTTAGCAGCACAAATATCAGATTTGGCCTCCTCCTTGTTCAGCTCATCTTTAAGATCCGACACCGTCTGCTCCAACGACAAAACTTTAGCAGCACAAGTATCAGATTTGGTCTCCTCCTTCTTTAGCTCATCTCTAAGACTCAACACCGTGTGTTCCAATGACAACACTTTAGCAGTTGAAGTATCATATTTTCCGTTCTACTCGTTCAGCTCATCTTTAAGATCCGAGACCGTCTGCTCCAACGACAAAAATGTAGCAGCACAAATACCAGATTTGGCCTCCTCCTTGTTCAGCGCATCTTTAAGATCCGACACCTCATCTTTAAGATCCGAGACCGTCTGCTCCAACGACCAAACTTCAGCAGAAAAAGTATCAGATCTGGTCTTCTCCTTGTTCAGCTCATCTCTAAGATCCGACACCTCATCTTTAAGATCCGAGACTGTCTTCTCCAACGACCAAACTTCAGCAGCGGAAGTATCAGAACTGGTCTTCTCCTTGTTGAGCTCATCTCTAAGATCCGACACCTCATATTTGAGATCCGACACATCATCTTTAAGACCTGACATTTGATTTGTAAGATACGACACTGTCTGCTCCAAAGACAGAACTTTAGCAGCAGAAGTAGTAGACTTGACCTTCTCCTTGTCCAGTTCAACGTTGAGATTCTTGATGTGTTCCTCGAGTTCTTGGACTTCAGTATCATCACCATATGATTTCTTCCTCTCCAAGGAAACCTCATTAAGCTTTGTCTTTAGCCAGTCTAGCTTGAATCCCGCTACGTCTGTGAGCTCGATCAACTCGCTGTGAGCGTTGA